ACAGTCTGAAGCTCTTTAATTCCTTTTAAATATTAAAAAAGAGAAAAATCCCTGAAGGAAATGTTGCTTATGTGCTGTTTATTTCTCTGTCTTTCAGGAACTTTGAGTATCAAAGGCTTTGGGCACAATAGCTGAGGATATTATGCAATTGGGTTACTGAGTGTGTAGGTGCTAGGATTACTTTTGATTTGAAGTCTGAGTAATTAACAACATGTTCAAAACCATTTAAGTCTGCATGTCTGGAGTTACTCAGCGATACAGCATTACAATTTGTGAACTCTATAAATGTCCATCAAAGAGAGTGATACATCTTCAGGGAGGGGCATTTGTTACAGGAAAGCTTAGATGCAGTCCTTTACCCAGGACAAAATGGCCCTCAACATTCACAGCCCAGAATCAGAATTTCAAAGTCAGTGTTATTTGAGCGACTAATCCTATAGTGATGCTGGTTGTTGCATTTCTGCCTTTTCTCTCTTTAAAACTGTTGCCCGGAGCTCTTGTCACTAAGCACAAAATCAAAGAAATGGGTTTGGAGCTCTAACTTTACTAGTGGAAACTCAACTGAAGATAATTAGTAATAATATCTCAAATAATGATTTCTACCCATAGATCACAACTTGCTAATAATGGAGATTTCAGTCAGTTTAACCTGATTTCTTAGGTATGTCTAGACTTGTCCAAATCTGTGAAGTCTAGAAATACTTGAGCTAGTTCCTGTGCCAAAATCATTCTAGCCACAGGAGTAAGGTGCAATTTTTCATCAAGGAGCGATTTTCAGAGCAGATTAACTCTTTCATATCTCAAAATAAGACTCTTTCTAAATCCCAAAATATCTTGGGCAACTCTTTCAATCCCAAAATATTCTAGAGCATGCCAAGAAGACATACCCATAACTTTCTTGTGCTTTGGTGCTTGTGATATTGGCTTTGTGTCTAATCATACAACTTTCACCAATCAGTTACAGGATACATTTTGTGAACTGAGTAAAGAAAACTAGAATTTTTGCACCACACTCAGTTTTAGAGATAACTAATCATAATCTAATATACTAAGACACAGCAGTCTGGTTGTTTCTGCTGCACTTTTGTGCTGCTTTGTGTTCAGTAACTCACATTACCTTTAAAGAACCAGTTTTGAAAACAGAGTGCTTGCAGAAGGCGTTACCAAAAAAAAAAAAAGCTAGCTGAAGGATATACAGTTCTTAAAACATACTCTCCAGACACCTCTGTATTTTCTGAACTTCCCTCAAGATTTTCGTTGCTCAACACATTTATAACCTAGAAATGAAATCAAAAGTTTTTAAACAATAAGTAACTAAATCAGCCTTTTATTATAATTCCAAATCATGATGCATGCAGATGCGTGTTAGACAGGAAACATTTTGTCCCTCCTAGCCAAACTCCTCCTCCCATAGCTAACAAACACCAAATTAATTTCATCCAGTTTTGTAAGTAAAACGCACACTTTGCCTCCAGAGTGAATAGCAGCCTATAGACATCAAGGGCCCTTGCCAGTAAAAAGTTGCAGACATTTTTATGTTTTAGAAAGAATTCATTCTTCTGGTGAAAAACAGGTAGATGTTGGACATCCTAAACATCAACAACCATGACACATACAAGACACTTCTGAAACTCAGGAAGAGAAAAGCATGACTACAAAGAGAGACAGAAAGTGAAAAAAAGGTAAGGAAAACAATTTTTAGTGCAATTTATAAGAGACAAAGCCACTGTGGGACTCCCCCGTCTAAGGAAACTCTGGAATAAAAAGAGTAAACCTCTCAAAGTACATTTAGTATTCAAATTTTCACTACCACTAGGTTTTTTGGATGGCTGTTTTATACCACCATTTATCACTGGAAAATATGGTCTGATGTGCAAGCAATAGAATATTGCCCAAAATCCTGTAAAATAAGGACTCAGTTCAACACATGAGAATTTTTTATGGTACTGTAAAAGGCTTGAGCAAACTCCAGTTCACTTCTGAACACTATCATTATTTGCCCAAAGGGGTGCCTTCTGCCTGAGCACTGGACCAGACTGTGAGGGGTTCTCCTTCTGGAGGAGGTCCTCACAGTGCTTCTCCCATGGTTCTTTCAATGTGCCTTGCCTTCAGCCCTGGGCTACTCCATTCCTCCTGTGTGAGACTGACAGTCACAGGGCTGCAAAGTTTGTTCTGCTGTGCTTCATATGCTTCTTGGCTGAATAGTAAGGGGTTAAACTGAAAGCACTGAGCCTCCCCAGCAGAAGGATTGATTTGATCATTCTTCAGGGATTCCCTCTTGTATGAGTCACTGCTCAGACTGACTCTCCACTAAAGAAGGCCGGATAATGCCATTCCTCCAGAGACTACAACAGCTGAGGGCTAGCCCTAAAGATGGAAAGCTTGGGACTCATGCTTGGAAAAACATTCAGCAGACCACAATGCACTCAGCAAACTTACAGAAATTATTCAGACAGAAGAGGGGGAAAAAAGGCAAACAAAAAGTGTTCTCAAACTCTTTGCATTAACCAATTAAGTATGCAGACTAGTAGGAATTAGACAAGCTCCAGGAGTCTGCCTCCTGGCTTGGGGACTCTGCCCAAGCAAGGACTGAAGACATGAGTTCATGTAGTATAATATTTAAATTTTATACAAAAGATATGTTCTCTTTATGAGCACAATGATTCCTGTGATCTATTACTTTGTAATAGCTGTGTTTGGCTGCTACCAACTAAGAACGTGATTAACATTCCAAATTCAAAAACAAAAGTGGTAACAGCAGCAAAACTAATGAATGTCTCCAGCTAATCACAAAAGTTCATAACCAGCTCTCTAAGAGAAAGAGAAACTATGCTGGTGTTCCTTCTCTTGACCTACTTTCACTGATGTGCAAGAGCTGAAAGGGAAAGAAACACCGCATGCTGATTTACAAAAGTGAAGGCTGCTAATGCTTGTTCATCTGACATCAAGTACAGTGACTCTGCTCAAAAATCCAGCTGGAGCAGTCTGCTGCTAAGGCAACAATGCACTGTGCTTGTTTGCTTCCAACACACTGAGCTGTGTTAGGAAGTGTAGCACACAAGTCACCACAGAAGTCTTAAAAATTGCTCAGCTCACATCAGCTAGCAACTTCACTTCTCATTCCTAGTGATAAAATTGCAGTTCTTGGAGATGCTACAGAATCTCAGCTTTAAAGAATTGGCCCCTGCAGTGTACCTCCATGAGGCTGTACTGCCTTGCAACTGCAACAAACCTACCATGAGATTACTAAAACCAGGCAGGACCTTAAATTCTGTAATTTAAAGCTATATATAGTTTTTTATACAGTGAATATGTGAAGCTATATTCATTGTATAGAAAATGAATATACAGTGAATATCCTGCTAGGGGAGACAGTGTCCAAGTCAATGCTGCAGTAGCTGCTGGTGAGCGAACAGCATCACCATCACAATCCTTTGGGATATGACACTTCAAAGTTTTCCAACTCAAAAAAGAAAAAGGAGAGGAAATAAGTAGGAAGGAAAGTACCCTTTAATGTGGTTTCCTTCTTGTAATGAGACAGATCGAGTACTTCACTCCTGACATGTCATACTAACCCACTTCTGTGCAACAAAGGAAGTTTAAATATAAAGTAGACAGTCACTTTCTTCCTCCCACTCCACTCTACACAGAGAGCAGAATTCTGCTTTTTTAAATTGCAATATCACCTTCTTTCCTTTCTTTTTTAACTTTGTTGAGAAACAAAAAAGATGTTCTGCTGATGTCACAGCTACAGCCCAACTGTGTGCAGTGTGGTGCTTGGGGGTCACAGGAATGGTGCTGAATAGCTCTCCTCGAGGAGATAGGGTGTTACATCCACCTCATGCACACATTTTGTAACTTACACTTTACCTATCCAGGACTCTGCTGAGAAGCTTCAGGGAAGTCTGCTCTTCTCCTGAGCCTGATGAGCCCAAAGACTTGGATGCCTTCGCCTCCAGAGCCTCCCATGCTCACCCTGCCATCCCACCCCACAGCTTGACTTCCTGCACTGCTGGTAGAGGCCACGGGCAGAACAGCGTGGGAACTCCATGGAGAGGGAGAGTTAAGCAGGCGCAGCGTCAAAGACTGTGCTGGCAGCCTGAGGAGTGCCCAAGACTGTTTAAAGTTCAGAGGGGGTTTCAGTCAGCAGCTGAGGAATCCACAGCTTGTGCCAGCACCACGGAAACCCTTTCCAAAACAAGACTCAAAACTATCCTTAACAGTCTTGTTTCAGAGCCTGACTTCGACTCACAGCTCCACTCCAGTCACCTATTCCAGTAGGGAGCATTCGCACGTTACGCATTGTCACCTTGTGATCCACCACTCCTGCAAGCACCCCACAGCTCCTGTGGATTCATCCTGCTCCAGCCCCAGCTCCCACCCCACGCTGTTTGCCCTGCTTCAGCCTGGGCTAGGACCCCTCTCCAGAAGAATCAGTCCCACCCCCAACACACAGCAGGAGCAGTGCTGACTGTATTCAGTTGTTCCCCCAGTCATGAAGGTAAGCTAGAAACATGTCCTTTAAATGAACACATGTACACTGCAAGTCCTCCGAAGCCAGCACCTTTTCAACCACTGGTCTCAACCACCACAGAAGGAGACACAGGTGCACACACGCTAGCAGCAGCACCACGCTCTCTTCCATAAATTACAGAAAGGTTTAAGAAGATGCACTGTATTGCAGGTTTTATGGGGACATGGAACCAAAGGCTTCGAACACCTTTCACAGGTCCTATCTGCTACAGTCAAGGTTTGCTGCAAAAACAAATGCCAAAGGTTGTCTTTCAATGTTGCTGTTGTCTACCTGTAACTACACTTGCCATGGTGTGAAACCTCAGCATTAGGCATGGCTCAGATCACTTGCACAGCTTTGCCCAGTGACATGGAAAACATACTATATGCAGAAAAACATGTCATTACCATATTTATGCTTTCAGCATTTGACATAGACTTTGAAATGGGGGAAAAGGCAGACCAGAGTCTAGACTGAAAAAACATACCTGGTGCTTTCTCCACAAAGATGACTTTGGAGTCTTGCAGAAAGTTATGACCAGTCAGTACCATTTTTTTCCCTCCAATAACAGGAAAGCTGTCAGTACTTTGCTTCTCCACCAGAGGCAGTTCTTGGGCAGATCTCTGAGCTGAAGAGTTATAAAGAAGATTAAAAAAAAGGGAAAAAAAGGCAACCACAAACACACACAGAAAAAAAGTAAATACTGCATTAGTAAGTAACTTAATGCTTACTCTCATAAAATAAGCTGAGTTTGATACAGAAATAAAGAAAGGTCAGAAAGTTTGTAGGAAACATGGTTCATTTTCAAGTGCCTTGATCGTAAACAACAGGGTTATCAAACAGCAGTACAGATTCAAAATGCTCACAAAGAACAAATGCTTTAAAACTCATCATGATCTGTACTATACCAAAAAGTATATTTTAATTAAAATTTATTTTAAATCATATAACATATATGCCATGTGTTTACAAGGCACACATGACAAGATGACCATGTATGTCCAAAATTTGTTTCAGTCACTGTATACTGTATTGTCAATTCTGCAAACTGTCTTGCAACCACAGCCCGTGTGATCTAGCAGCAGCTCACAGTTTAGAGAGTGCATTTCCACCAGAACCTGAGTGCCAAAGCACACATGGATCCATGTAAACAGAATCTGGTATTCTTGTAGCACATATTTTACCCCTCCTCAAGTGCAACATGAAGAAAGCAGTGCCTCAGGGATGATGTGACATTTTATCCAGATTATATGGTTCCTCCTGGTCTCACATGCACGAAGAGATGCATGAAGTTTTTGGCACCAGTTTTATTCCACATTCTGCACTGGAAAAAGCGCTAGTACTTATTTTTTCTCCTGCTTTCCACTCTTTCAGGCAAGCATGTGCCACACTTACTACACAACACTCAAAACTGCAGTTCCCTGACACAAATCCAACCCCTGAGCTTGGCATATTTGCACAGCCCAGTTCAGGATAGAGTCAAATTGTGCCTTATCCTGCCATATAGCAACTGAAAAGCTCTCATAAACTTCAGCAGCAGTAGGATGAAACCATGATGCATATTTTTTGCTTTGCCCTCCAGCATGAATGGAGCTAGGGATGGTCAGGCCTTTCTCCCCATCCCCTCCACTACAGCTCACCCCTCACATATCCACCAGATGTTGTTTCCCCCCTACTGCGTCAGCATCAAAAAGATCCACTTTGTGGAATTCAACAAAACCTTAAAAAGTTGCTTCAGTCCATCCAGCTGATCAAATTAGCACTGGGAGTAAGACCGAAATTCAGCTTCCAGCACTTACGCTGGACTGTTAAAGCCACACAAAGCAAACAGGTTTTGTTTTGTGCGGGGGAGGCTGACTAGACTTACAGAGCAAGAATGATATAGGTGTCTTTGAAGGGTGCCCCAGTGTATCTGATAAAATGCAGTCAATTTCCATACTAGGCACAATGCAGAAACCTGGTTTCTGGAGGTTTTCTGAATACATAGGTAACCTGGGCCAGTGCATCAGCAACAGTATACTGCTAGCTTTTCATCAAAGAGGTTAGGGTTATGTTTGCTGGTTTTTGCTTCATGATGAGGGAGAAACAGAGTGAATAGGGCATGAGAGATGTTTCCCAAAACTCCTACAGTGGTTACCTTTATGTAAGGAGTGACCAAAAAAAGAAGCCCTGTCACTCTCCAGTCTACTATTAGTTTAAGTGCTCTCTACTTTTGCTTTAAGTGTGTACTTTCCTACAGCAAATAATGCACAAAGCTAAACATTTTTTTCTAAGATACTGATATTCTGTTCTCAGTATAAACCACCTTCCTTCGGAAAGCAGATCAAAGTTCACTGACCAGACAGGTAAAGCAAAACCAATGTAGAGCATGTTGGTGGACAAAGACTGCACATGCGGTGGAAGTATTCAAAAGGTGCATGGATGTGGCACACTGGGACATGGCTTAGTGGTGAACATGGCAGGGCTGGGTTAATGGCTGGACTCAAAGATCTTAGAGGTCTTTTCAACCTTAATGATTCCATTATTTTATTGTAATACCCAGCAAGAGGAGGATGCTTGTTGCTACTTACAGCATTCGATGGGGTTGGAGGCTACTTGTAAGGAGAGGGTCCTGCCATTGGCCTGTGGGATATGAACCCTGAAGACCAGCCGCACGCGTGTGTTCTTGCGACCGATGTCTGTCTCTCCCTTGCGCAGCTCAATGTCAGAGTTTCGGAGCTTTAATATCCCAGCACAGTCAATGCTATCCAAAAGGAAACACAGAGCATTGCAATTCATTTCAAGCAGGCTTCAGGAAGACATAAGCATGCAACATCTTCCCTCTCTCCTGCACTCTCTTCTTAAAAGAGTCAGACACAACCCAATGAGCAGGCTGAACACAGCAGACTTTCTTAAATCCAATACTTGCATTCACAACCAGCTAAGTCGGGGCTACCTGTAGTAACAGGTAGTAGCTGCTCTTGATTACATCAATTTAGGATATTACTTCAGTTCCCAGAGGAAGAAAATCTAAAAGACCCTTCCTCTCCAATGCATCCTGTAAGGATGGTGCTTAACAATTAACCAAAGCCCAAAGAAAGGAGACTAGAAAAGTCAATGGATGAGATAGCAGCGAAGAGAGTGTTACTAACCTGGAACAGAGGGTTACTTACAATTTCACTTGTTACAGCTAATTTGGAGAAAAATCTGACATGATTTTTAATCTAGGAAAAAGTCCTGAAAATGCTTATTAATGAGCACAACTCTCCCTGAGGTCAGTTCTACAGTCAATCTGTTTGTATTTGAATGAGTTGGAAATACTCCCAGGCTGAGCACTGAGCTGAAGCTCTGCATCAAGAAAACTAAACTCAGAGTCCTCCCTCCACATTAGGGAAAAACGTGCTTTTCATCAGATACAACTATTGCTATTTCTGACCTCTCTCTTTTTTTAAAAAACTTTGGGTTTCTCCTGGATGAGTTTACAAGTCAGGATTATTGTCAAAGAAAGTTTCAACAGAAGAAGTTCCCAGAACAAAAGTCATATAAACATATGCACTCGAAAACCCACCACAAAAATACCTCTGCTTTGGCCACAACTACAAAGCCTGCATGGCAGTTTCTTCTGGGTACTGGTCTCTGGCATGCATTTTATTACACTGAATATGCCTAGTTTAATTTTATTTTGCATTCAAAGAGTTTAATTCTCCCTCCAGACCTTTGAAGCTCTGTTCTGAAACAAACTGCAAACAAGCACTATAGCAGCATGGTTTTGATCTGCAATTTTTTCTAACGTATGGATTTCAGAATTTATAAAATGTCCTTGCTGATATGATCAAAGAACCTAATGAAAGCATTAAAGCTTCTCAACAATGCGTATTAGCAGGTGAAGCCATAAAAATTATGAAGTATTTGTACCCATGTCAAAATTCTATGCAAAGATCCATAAGATAAGGAAGAAAGTGCATTTCTCAATATTGTCTCTCCTTTAGTAACACTTGTAAAATAAATAAAGTACTTAATGACATTCAATTCAGAGCCAATAAAGTTCAGAGGAGAAAAAGCATTTAAATTCAAGTTTGTAAAGTCATGAACATTACACCCTGAAGTCAACAGGAGCAGCTAAATGTGCAAAAGTTTACACGTGCAGATGATCTTCAGAGTTGCACTGAATGAAGGCCTGAACACACACAGTATGTGTGAGAAAAGTCCTTGGCTCCAAATTTCAATTCATTGCTAGTGCTACACAAGGTTTTAGACTACTGACGTGTAAGGCTTATATATGCCAAAGCATTGTTAGTGACTCTTGAGAGAGCTCTACTACAATCTGGCTCATGTGTTACAAAAATGTTCAGCCTGCCTCCCAAACTATCTAACTACCTTTATTCTTGTGAGAAAGATGATTGAAATAGTAATAATGTTTCCAGACGGACAAAAATGTGATTCAAACTGGATAAATGAAGGGCCAAATAAATACTGTGTGGGTACAAACTGCTGAAATTTCATTAACCTCAATGTAGCCGTGCCAGCTTACAATGACAGCAAATGGAGCCAGTAATTTTGCAGGCTTGTCATGACTTTTATCACAATGCACTGAGAAAGGTCCTTGGGTCTTGAGTGATCACTCTAAGCCCAGCTGGCAATGCAGCTAAACATATTCTGGCTCTTCTATTTACATGAGGCACTCTGGGGCATGTTGTACATGACACTGCAAACCCGCTTCTAATAACCACTACGTGCAGAAGGACTTCAGGTGTCTGATACCATTTTCCACTTCATTAAGGCATGGAAAACTGTATGAATAACAAGGAGTGAAATTGTGATTTTCCCATGGTGCTTGATTGGGTGGGGGCCAGGATTTCTTGCTTGCTTTCTATGTATCTACCTACTTATCTTTTTATCTCCCTATACATACACACAAAAGTGCATGCATCTATATAAAATATGAATACAATTATACTTAGACACACAGAGAGAGCTGTACTTGCATGTAAACACACAGAAATTCCTCCCCAAGGGAGACACCTGAAATAAAGGTTAGGATCATTTGAATGAGGGGGAAGACAACTCAGATAAGGGCTTAGATGATTTGAAGGAGCGGAACAGAGAGGACAGGATTAAATAATGTGGAGGGTCTCATGTACGTCACATACACAGAGGGATTTTTGAACCTTTACATACAATCCTATAATGACATTTATCTGCGTGTAATGAACCTTCAGGGTACTTAATTATCACTCTACTAACTCAGAGAACCTAGGACACCCATGTCTGCTTTTCTGTGTAAGACTAATCTTACCCCAGTCTAATAACTTCAGTCTGTAAATTGTATCACCTTTGAATAAAAGTTCTCAGAGGTAACTCTTCTTAGCTCTAGAAGATTTGCTTCTAAACAAATGCCATGGTAAATGCTGAGTTTTATTACGTGAGAAATGAGTGGTTTTATTTGTCTCAAAAAACCCATGAGGGTACTCGGAAATGCTCTCTAAGAGTTTCCTTTGACATCCAAAGATAAATTTTAATAGCCCTGTTCCTTGTGCTGGTGCATATAGGAGCAAGAGGTGTCATATTTAGAACTAAATGCAGGAGCTGAGGTAGGAGATATTTACAGCTCGGTAACTGAGATACTTATTTTAAATGGCAAATAAGCACATTGGCTGAAACTCTAGAATGCAAGCAATCAGTTGTCATAAATATTTGTGAAGTTCATTTTACTGTTAAGTTGACTAGGGGTAATTTGTCCCAGCAAAGTTGTGAAAACCTACTATTACAGACAGAAATGTAGAAAAAAAAAAGAGTTGGGAAAAGGAAAATTTTCAGTATAAAAAAAAGGAAACAAAACCAAAAGAAATTAAGTGAGGTGACAAACAAGAAATTGCTAGAAGTCAGATATGGTGCCTGGGTCTTACATTGCTCTCATGTTGTTCTCTGGAAGAAGTGGAATTTCCAGGACTTTGGTGTTGGAAAGTATTGTTTCGTGGCTGGTGGTGGAAACAGTCTTCCCGGTGATTCGATGAACCTGGTAGAAAGCATGGGGTCGCAGCAGGCGGTCGTCTGCAGTCCCAATGAACAGCTGTAGTGTGAGCGGCTCGCTTTCTAAGTAACCATGTAGCTGGCAAGAGAACAGAAAACACCCACTGAGCACCATGCACATAAACTGCTAGGAATCAATTAAATTTTTATAAGCAGGAGAGCCTAATTCAAGGAGAGAACTTGTGACAGGTGCTATGTGTTAAGTTCCCCCCTTCCATTTTTCCTGTAACGTAATATTGGTACAATAAAAAGGTGCACTCAGAAAATGTCTCATTATCCTAAAGGACCTGAGGCACTTTAGATGGGCTGAGGTTTTGAGCACTCCTGCTACATCCACAGAATACTTTGCATAAATTCTGCTGCAGTGTTCAGCACAAGATCACAATGAACTCGATGTTCCCTTCCTGTACTAAGGGAAGCAATACCAATAGAGTTTGCAAGTGGAAAGGACACAGCTCATCCATCCCCATGCCTCCTGGGTCATCCCTCATGCAGCAGCAAGCTGCTGCTCGTGACACATCATCATTAACCTTCATTAACTGATTTTTATGCTAGTAAATACCTCCTGGGACAGCATGGAGACAGATCACATATACACGATTAACAGCTCACCGTGTGTGTCAAATTCTTATTATAATCGCACAAAATTCTCATTGAAGATATTGGGCCTCATCCATGTTACACTGACTGCTCTAATGACAACAAGAGCTATTTCTGCCACAGGCTGGAGAGGGAATGGGAGCAGAGCCTGACCTCATCCCCACCACCTCCTGTAGAAGCTACTCTGGGTTCCCACTGGTGTGAGGGACTCCATAGGTCAAGCTGTCCCTAGTCAATGTCCCACTTAACACTGCCATCTGACACTGAGTCTCACTAAAAGAGTTATCTTGGCACATGAAAAGCAAAGAGGTGATTGGTAATAACCAACATGGCTTTACCAGGGGCAAGTCATGCCTGATGAATTCGGTGGCCTTCTATGATGGGGCCACTGAATTTGTGGATGGGGAAGAGCAACTGATACCATCTACCTGACTTATGCAAAGCATTTGACACTGTCCCACATGACATCCTTGTCTCTAAATTGGAGAGACATGAACATGATGGGTGGACCACTTGGTGGATAAAGAACTGGCTGGACGGTCACATGCAGAGAATTGTGGTCAGTGGCTCAGTGTCCACGTGGAGACAGTGACAAGTGGTGTCCCTCAGGGGTCAGTGCTGGAGCGGATACTTTTCAACATCTTTGTCAGCAACATGGACAGTGAGACTGAGTGCACCCTCAGCAAGGTCACTGACCACACCAAGCTGTGTGGGACAGTTGACATGCTGGAGGGAAGGGATGCCATCCAGAGGGACCCTGACAGGCCTGAGGGGTAGACCAATGCAAATCTCATGAAATTCAAAAAAATGAAGTGCAAGGTCCTACATCTGGGCCGTGGCAATCTCAGACACACCTACAGGGTGGGGAGTAATTGAGATGAGCAATGAGGAGAAAGACTTGGGAGT